CTGTTTAAGTAACTAAACTCACATGTTTGTAGAGAGACGATTAATTAACTGTGACATTTTAAAGCGCGGTTAATTGTGAAACTGGTTAATCGCTGCATCCCTGCGCATGAATGGTTTAAAACGCTTGAATGTTTAAATTGGTAAGACTTAGAAACACGTGTAAATGATAAACTATGATCCGTTTCAACCCTACAAGCGAGAGAACAACGCGAATCAAGGAAGGGATTTTATGTCGCTATTCAAGATAGCCCGTCGGGCAGGGCGGTGAAACATTTTGGTAGCCCGACTGGAAAACACAATAGCCCCGGGACGTCGGGCTAGCAATTTTGCAAGCCCTGGAAACTGTTTCTACCAACCCTGTTGGTTTTCTCTCTCAAGGTATTTGAGGTGAACTCCTCGTCTCAAAGGAGTGGTCGTCAGATCTTATCCCAGCTGAAGGAAGCCACTCAGTCCCACCAGGTGGACATCCAGGGTGTCAACGCTCAAAAACCATCCTACTTCAGCAATTATAGCAACAACAGCACCACCACCAAACCTGGCAACTCTCCCAGTATGAATGTTTTCTTCCTTTGTGATAACAATACAATTTATACTGTGCATGACTTTTTGCTTGAGTTCTCTGTGTCTCTTCCAATTACAGGGGGGAAGTCGTGGCCTAATGGTTAGAGAGTCGGACTCGTAACCCAAAGGTTGCAGGTTCGAGTCTCGTACCGGCAGGGATTGTAGGTGGGTGGAGTGAATGTACAGCGCTCTCTCCCACCTTCAATACCACGACTGAGGTGCCCTTGAGCAAGGCACCGAACCCCCAACTGCTCCCCGGGCGCTGCAGCAAAAAATGGCTGCCCACTGCTCCGGGTGTGTGTTCACGGTGTGTGTGTGTTCACTGCTGTGTGTGTGCACTTTGGATGGGATAAATGCAGAGCACTAATTCAGAGTATGGGTCACCATACTTGGCCACATGTCACTTCACTTCACTTACAGGGAAGTTGAATTCCCCCAGAAGGGTTGTATCATCGCCCAGGAAGCCTCCTCAGTCCCCTCGAAGTGCTTCATCCAGAAGAGGAGGCTTGGCTCCGACATCTTTGGCCAATTTCTTCAAAGCGGGTGGAAGACCCACGGGCAAAGAAGCAAACAGTCAAGACAAGAAAACACAACCTGGTAATAATTCAGAATCCAGTAATCAAATTTTCCCGAAATCCAGCAATCTGTTTGAGACATTTCTATGGCATTTCTTGTTTTCCTCTACATTCTAATTTAGTGCTCAAGCAACATTTCCTATTATCAATGTTCAAAACAGTTGTGCTGCTTAATATTTTGTGGGAACTGGTACTTTTTTTCCTGTATCCAATGATGAATATAAGTTCAAAAGAACAGCTGTTAATGTGATTTTTTTTATTATTTAGGATTTTTTTTGCAAGCTTCATGTTTGAGACCTTTATATGGCATTTCTTGTTTTCTTTTAGTCTTAAAAGCATGTTCGAAAAAGTCTGCCAAAGCAAAAGAGGCTGACAGCAAAGAGTGCCCCGGGGAAACATCAGCAGGCACCAAGATCTCCACTGAAGACCAGGACAAGAGGGCTGCCACATCTCTTATCTTATTTGAGGAGGTGGATATCATTTTTGATGATGACGCTGGATTTCTGGCTGCAATAAAACACTTCATGACTACAACCAAGAGACCAGTTATTCTAACAACCAGCGGTGAGTAAAGTTGGCAGTGAACAGAAAATTACAGTTTGTGATATGTGAATTAGTCATCATGGGACTTGTTTTGTGCAGATCCAATCTTTGGTGCTTCGTTTGATGGATACTTTGAGGAAATCCATTTCAAATCTCCTTCAGTGGTAAGTCCACTTAATTTATTTTCTCCTTTGTTAAAACAAAATGTATCTTGTGTTGAGTCTTGTTTGTGATTGTCGATATTTTTGACTTTTCCAGGTGGATGTGTCCAGTTACCTCCAGCTGCTGTGTCTAGCAGAAAACATGAGAACAGACACTAAGGATCTGTCCTGTCTGCTGGACTGGAACAGGTGTGATATTCGTCAAAGCCTCCTGCACTTGCAGTTTTGGGCCTGCAGTGGTGGTGGACAGCAGGTGCATCGGCCTTTGCCTTCCTCAGGTAAAGATATAATTGACTCTGAAAAAGTACACTAAGAACTCTTGGTTGTATATCGTAATATGTGAATATTCTCATCAAAAACAACTTGTTTCACTCTGTAGAGCTCAAAGGGGACGTCAAGAGTGACATTCACCATCAGTCTGTCAAAGCTCAGGATGTAAATGAGGATAAAATACCACCCTGCCACACTGCATGCACAGAAAGTTTGCTGGGGATCCGAAATATGCAAACAGAAAATATTGCAGATTTGCTGCTAAAGGTGAGTGTTTATCTCCCTAATGTAAAAGCCACTAATGTTATTTATTTATTTTTTAAGCTATTAATAGTTTTATTCAGCAAGGATTCATTAAATCAAACGTGACCATAAAGAAGTTTGTAATGTTAAAAAAAGATTTCTGTTTAAACTAAATAAATAAATGCTGTTGTTTTGAATTTTAGAACTATCAAAGAATTCTGGGGGGGAAAAAGTATGAGAAGAGGTGGAAATTCACCCCTTTTATTTATATGTGTGTTTGTGTGAGCAGTATTTTGTCTAAATGAAAATACAAACTAAAAACAATTTAAAATGTTAATTTTCATATTTGCTAAACCTGATAAAAGTGTTAAGTTTTTAGTGTTTTTAAAGATTAAGTAAGTGCACAAGGTAATCCACATGTATAAATAGGAGAAATGAGCATGTGCCATGTAATATCCAACACATGATGATTTAAAAAAAAAAATTTAATATTGCTACAAGAATTTGTCCCTGATCAATCTATTCATATCTTACAGCATGAGTCTCCAGTAATAGACAGCGTTAGGTGCTGGGATCTTCTCTCAGAGGTCCATAGAAGGGGAGTGAATCTTCTCTACTCGAATATGGAGAGTCTGCTTCCTCTGCCAACTCGTCTTTTACCACAGTCCACACTCAAATCACAACCAACACCAAACCCACAGTCCCATCCTGAACCTGATAAAAGTGTTAAGTTTTTAGTGTTTTTAAAGATTAAGTAAGTGCACAAGGTAATCCACATGTATAAATAGGAGAAATGAGCATGTGCCATGTAATATCCAACACATGATGATTTAAAAAAAAATTTTTTATATTGCTACAAGAATTTGTCCCTGATCAATCTATTCATATCTTACAGCATGAGTCTTCAGTAATAGACAGCGTTAGGTGCTGGGATCTTCTCTCAGAGGTCCATAGAAGGGGAGTGAATCTTCTCTACTCGAATATGGAGAGTCTGCTTCCTCTGCCAACTCGTCTTTTACCACAGTCCACACTCAAATCACAACCAACACCAAACCCACAGTCCCATCCTGAGCAAGTACCTCAGACTGTGAGGTTGGAAGTTTTGGAAGAACCCTCTGATGATGGTAGTCCCCTTAAATTGTCCTCTAGAATGAGGGGGCGGAAAAAGATGGGCATTGGCAATAAAGACGTTTTCCAGTCTGATTCAGAGTCGGAGGACGACTTACTCTCACTAACAAAAACCAGCCAAGATCCTGCTCAAAGCACTAATGTAGATCCAGCCAATGTGTCTGTGAATGTGTCCAAAGCTGCGCCGGTAAAACCAAGGCGTGTTGTGTTATCCGAAGCTGAAAGGAAGAAGAGCAAACCAGTGATGCAGTGCCTAAGCAGTTTAGCAGAGTATATGGACCACATGTCCTTCCTAGACTCCTCACTGCGCTACCAGCCGCTGCAAACGGAGGGTTCCTGCAGAACACAAGTCTTTGGCTGGACTGGTGCAGAGGTCAAGAGTGGGATGACCGATGACATTCGGTTAGAGTGTGTCAGCCGAGTAAATGGTGTTAATGTCGATGAAATCCATGCTGCATTGGGGCACTTGAGTTTTAGGAAGTGCAAGGCTGTAGTCTCCGAAGCCTGGGACAGAGCACAGCAACTGGAGGAGGAGATCAGAAGAGAGGCAGAGGAGGAGCTCACCCTCCCTGTGGCTCCACACAAAGATGGGTTCAGCCTTACCCAAACTACACCTTGTGACCCAAGGTGAGAATTTAGCTCCATTAGTTTTTTGCTTTTATTTATACTCCTAACAATCCAAGACTGGGTCATGTAGCTTCATAGTGTCTTTAACACTGGAGGACCAAACAATCAGTGAGAGAGCCACGCTGAGCAGAACGAAGGTGTTACATGTTTAAAACTTTTAAAAATGGCACAAAAATGGCAAAAAATCAGCAAAATGGTTAAATACATCCATCAAGGGCATGCTACAGAGAACAAAACAGCGCTGGATGAAGTGACAGTTTATTCACGACAGCTTAATTTTCTTAAGTTACCTTTGCTATGCAGTTATTGAAAAGACCGAGTGAGTGTGAATAATTACTCATGTAGTATGAGCGGCTATCGTTGTAGATAAATATAATACAAATAGTCAGTTATATCTCCCATCCATAATCTCATTGTTTTAGGTTACACTGACCTCACTTTGTCCTGTGAGGCGGTTTATACACAACATACCGTTAGATAAAAAGTAATCTCATGCTAATTTTGTTTTGTGTAGGGTGATGGAGAGGAGAAGTGAGGTGATGAAGTCGGTGCTCTCCTCCAGATCAGCTGGAACTCTTGGAAACCAGGCAGCAGCGGCTCTGGACTACCTCCCCTCTCTACGTACCATTTGTAGGTCAGAGAAACTGAAGGAGCAGGGAAAGATCAAACGCAGGTGAGAGTTCAGCAGACACATTCATAGCCTTGTCTGCAGTGCACTCAGGTTACAGTTATTAGTTACAGTTAGCACAATCCTGATTTATTGTCATCATTTGCTTCCATTAGGTGGTGCACTAGTGATAGGTCTAGACCAGTGTTTCCCAACCTTTTTTTAGTCGAGGCACCCTTTAGAAATTTTAACAAACTTGTGGCACCCTACAAAATTAATTTTGTCACAATATTTGAATTTCTAACTTCGATATGATAATTTGAAAAGTATAGATATTCGGTACAACAGGGAAGAACTGCAGAATATAATGTCATACAGATATTTTTAATATTATTAAAAAAAATGTGTCCATCAATGGTGGCAATCAGTAGGCTAATTTCTAATGAAGAGACCAATTTATATGACAGTTTTTAATGTAGGCTTTTATGTAAACATTATGCAAAACAGTCAAGACAAGAAAACACAACCTGGTAATAATTCAGAATCCAGTAATCAAATTTTCCCGAAATCCAGCAATCTGTTTGAGACATTTCTATGGCATTTCTTGTTTTCCTCTACATTCTAATTTAGTGCTCAAGCAACATTTCCTATTATCAATGTTCAAAACAGTTGTGCTGCTTAATATTTTGTGGGAACTGGTACTTTTTTTCCTGTATCCAATGATGAATATAAGTTCAAAAGAACAGCTGTTAATGTGATTTTTTTTATTATTTAGGATTTTTTTTGCAAGCTTCATGTTTGAGACCTTTATATGGCATTTCTTGTTTTCTTTTAGTCTTAAAAGCATGTTCGAAAAAGTCTGCCAAAGCAAAAGAGGCTGACAGCAAAGAGTGCCCCGGGGAAACATCAGCAGGCACCAAGATCTCCACTGAAGACCAGGACAAGAGGGCTGCCACATCTCTTATCTTATTTGAGGAGGTGGATATCATTTTTGATGATGACGCTGGATTTCTGGCTGCAATAAAACACTTCATGACTACAACCAAGAGACCAGTTATTCTAACAACCAGCGGTGAGTAAAGTTGGCAGTGAACAGAAAATTACAGTTTGTGATATGTGAATTAGTCATCATGGGACTTGTTTTGTGCAGATCCAATCTTTGGTGCTTCGTTTGATGGATACTTTGAGGAAATCCATTTCAAATCTCCTTCAGTGGTAAGTCCACTTAATTTATTTTCTCCTTTGTTAAAACAAAATGTATCTTGTGTTGAGTCTTGTTTGTGATTGTCGATATTTTTGACTTTTCCAGGTGGATGTGTCCAGTTACCTCCAGCTGCTGTGTCTAGCAGAAAACATGAGAACAGACACTAAGGATCTGTCCTGTCTGCTGGACTGGAACAGGTGTGATATTCGTCAAAGCCTCCTGCACTTGCAGTTTTGGGCCTGCAGTGGTGGTGGACAGCAGGTGCATCGGCCTTTGCCTTCCTCAGGTAAAGATATAATTGACTCTGAAAAAGTACACTAAGAACTCTTGGTTGTATATCGTAATATGTGAATATTCTCATCAAAAACAACTTGTTTCACTCTGTAGAGCTCAAAGGGGACGTCAAGAGTGACATTCACCATCAGTCTGTCAAAGCTCAGGATGTAAATGAGGATAAAATACCACCCTGCCACACTGCATGCACAGAGAGTTTGCTGGGGATCCGAAATATGCAAACAGAAAATATTGCAGATTTGCTGCTAAAGGTGAGTGTTTATCTCCCTAATGTAAAAGCCACTAATGTTATTTATTTATTTTTTAAGCTATTAATAGTTTTATTCAGCAAGGATTCATTAAATCAAACGTGACCATAAAGAAGTTTGTAATGTTAAAAAAAGATTTCTGTTTAAACTAAATAAATAAATGCTGTTGTTTTGAATTTTAGAACTATCAAATAATTCTGGTGGGGAAAAAGTATGAGAAGAGGTGGAAATTCACCCCTTTTATTTATATGTGTGTTTGTGTGAGCAGTATTTTGTCTAAATGAAAATACAAACTAAAAACAATTTAAAATGTTAATTTTCATATTTGCTAAACCTGATAAAAGTGTTAAGTTTTTAGTGTTTTTAAAGATTAAGTAAGTGCACAAGGTAATCCACATGTATAAATAGGAGAAATGAGCATGTGCCATGTAATATCCAACACATGATGATTTAAAAAAAAAAATTTAATATTGCTACAAGAATTTGTCCCTGATCAATCTATTCATATCTTACAGCATGAGTCTCCAGTAATAGACAGCGTTAGGTGCTGGGATCTTCTCTCAGAGGTCCATAGAAGGGGAGTGAATCTTCTCTACTCGAATATGGAGAGTCTGCTTCCTCTGCCAACTCGTCTTTTACCACAGTCCACACTCAAATCACAACCAACACCAAACCCACAGTCCCATCCTGAGCAAGTACCTCAGACTGTGAGGTTGGAAGTTTTGGAAGAACCCTCTGATGATGGTAGTCCCCTTAAATTGTCCTCTAGAATGAGGGGGCGGAAAAAGATGGGCATTGGCAATAAAGACGTTTTCCAGTCTGATTCAGAGTCGGAGGACGACTTACTCTCACTAACAAAAACCAGCCAAGATCCTGCTCAAAGCACTAATGTAGATCCAGCCAATGTGTCTGTGAATGTGTCCAAAGCTGCGCCGGTAAAACCAAGGCGTGTTGTGTTATCCGAAGCTGAAAGGAAGAAGAGCAAACCAGTGATGCAGTGCCTAAGCAGTTTAGCAGAGTATATGGACCACATGTCCTTCCTAGACTCCTCACTGCGCTACCAGCCGCTGCAAACGGAGGGTTCCTGCAGAACACAAGTCTTTGGCTGGACTGGTGCAGAGGTCAAGAGTGGGATGACCGATGACATTCGGTTAGAGTGTGTCAGCCGAGTAAATGGTGTTAATGTCGATGAAATCCATGCTGCATTGGGGCACTTGAGTTTTAGGAAGTGCAAGGCTGTAGTCTCCGAAGCCTGGGACAGAGCACAGCAACTGGAGGAGGAGATCAGAAGAGAGGCAGAGGAGGAGCTCACCCTCCCTGTGGCTCCACACAAAGATGGGTTCAGCCTCACCCAAACTACACCTTGTGACCCAAGGTGAGAATTTAGCTCCATTAGTTTTTTGCTTTTATTTATACTCCTAACAATCCAAGACTGGGTCATGTAGCTTCATAGTGTCTTTAACACTGGAGGACCAAACAATCAGTGAGAGAGCCACGCTGAGCAGAACGAAGGTGTTACATGTTTAAAACTTTTAAAAATGGCACAAAAATGGCAAAAAATCAGCAAAATGGTTAAATACATCCATCAAGGGCATGCTACAGAGAACAAAACAGCGCTGGATGAAGTGACAGTTTATTCACGACAGCTTAATTTTCTTAAGTTACCTTTGCTATGCAGTTATTGAAAAGACCGAGTGAGTGTGAATAATTACTCATGTAGTATGAGCGGCTATCGTTGTAGATAAATATAATACAAATAGTCAGTTATATCTCCCATCCATAATCTCATTGTTTTAGGTTACACTGACCTCACTTTGTCCTGTGAGGCGGTTTATACACAACATACCGTTAGATAAAAAGTAATCTCATGCTAATTTTGTTTTGTGTAGGGTGATGGAGAGGAGAAGTGAGGTGATGAAGTCGGTGCTCTCCTCCAGATCAGCTGGAACTCTTGGAAACCAGGCAGCAGCGGCTCTGGACTACCACCCCTCTCTACGTACCATTTGTAGGTCAGAGAAACTGAAGGAGCAGGGAAAGATCAAACGCAGGTGAGGAGGCAGAGGAGGAGCTCACCCTCCCTGTGGCTCCACACAAAGATGGGTTCAGCCTTACCCAAACTACACCTTGTGACCCAAGGTGAGAATTTAGCTCCATTAGTTTTTTGCTTTTATTTATACTCCTAACAATCCAAGACTGGGTCATGTAGCTTCATAGTGTCTTTAACACTGGAGGACCAAACAATCAGTGAGAGAGCCACGCTGAGCAGAACGAAGGTGTTACATGTTTAAAACTTTTAAAAATGGCACAAAAATGGCAAAAAATCAGCAAAATGGTTAAATACATCCATCAAGGGCATGCTACAGAGAACAAAACAGCGCTGGATGAAGTGACAGTTTATTCACGACAGCTTAATTTTCTTAAGTTACCTTTGCTATGCAGTTATTGAAAAGACCGAGTGAGTGTGAATAATTACTCATGTAGTATGAGCGGCTATCGTTGTAGATAAATATAATACAAATAGTCAGTTATATCTCCCATCCATAATCTCATTGTTTTAGGTTAAACTGACCTCACTTTGTCCTGTGAGGCGGTTTATACACAACATACCGTTAGATAAAAAGTAATCTCGTGCTAATTTTGTTTTGTATAGGGTGATGGAGAGGAGAAGTGAGGTGATGAAGTCGGTGCTCTCCTCCAGATCAGCTGGAACTCTTGGAAACCAGGCAGCAGCGGCTCTGGACTACCTCCCCTCTCTACGTACCATTTGTAGGTCAGAGAAACTGAAGGAGCAGGGAAAGATCAAACGCAGGTGAGAGTTCAGCAGACACATTCATAGCCTTGTCTGCAGTGCACTCAGGTTACAGTTATTAGTTACAGAATTACACGTTAGTTTACAGTTAGCACAATCCTGATTTATTGTCATCATTTGCTTCCATTAGGTGGTGCACCAGTGATAGGTCTAGACCAGTGTTTCCCAACCTTTTTTTAGTCGAGGCACCCTTTAGAAATTTTAACAAACTTGTGGCACCCTACAAAATTAATTTTGTCACAATATTTGAATTTCTAACTTCGATATGATAATTTGAAAAGTATAGATATTCGGTACAACAGGGAAGAACTGCAGAATATAATGTCATACAGATATTTTTAATATTATTAAAAAATTTTGTCCATCAATGGTGGCAATCAGTAGGCTAATTTCTAATGAAGAGACCAATTTATATGACAGATTTTAATGTAGGCTTTTATACATATGTAAACATCATTTAATTACCATTATAACTAGCTATCTCACAAATTTTTCTCACTCAGTGTTTTTTTAATTTTACAGTGGGGTATATATATATATATTAAATACAATTTTGAAAAATACAAATACAAAAACGAAAATAGCGAGATATATACCGTATATCGCAAATCAGCCAAAAAATACAGAGATATGAATTTTTAGCCCTACTGCATGGCATGTCTTCGATGAGAATAATAATTACAACAGCTCTAATACATTTATTATAACATTCACACACAGTGTTCAAATTGAGAACTGTAATATTTTCTATTTTAAAAGAAGTCTCTTCTGTTCAGCAAGGCTTAGGGTAGGGCTGGACAATAATTCAATATCAATATGTATCGCGATATAATTTTTTTCAATAACGGTGATATGATTTTTAAACACATTTCCGATATTTCGATATACATTACCAGTTTCCCATACATTGATTTATTTGTTC